TTTTTATTTTGCACTGTTATGGAGTTTGTGAGGGTGGGGTTATATTGTATTCGAGTAGTCGAGTATGTACTAAATGAACGAGAAATTTAAAACGGAGTGTTTTTTAATTCCAAAATGATAAACAATACATCGATTAAGTGTTAAGAATATGCAAGGTTTGAATATAGGTAATTTATTGAAATCAAACACGAAATTCGACATTCGTTCTAAATCGTTTAAGCGGATTACTGATTATTAGTCGTAACATAAACTATAATAATATGCACAGTACAAATGAACTTCGACCTTTGGATATTATAATATTATTCTGTTGTTTTATAGATCCTATCACAATATTATAGTCATTAACAAACAATATTGTTGAATGTAACTGAAACTAATTATCTTCTGTACATTTCGTGTATAAAATAGAATAAAAGAAAATTGATATTGTTGCCTTGTTACTATTTCTGTATCAAAGGAATGAAAATGCATTTAAGTAAAAGCTTTCGAATAAATTCGTCGAGACGTCTTGTATTATATCAATACAAAATTAATAAAGTCAATAGATCAAAGGCTATATATTATATTTATGTTTTCAGTTAAAGTTATTATAAAGTACCTATTATTTTTTTTTTTTTTTTTATTGATCTTAAGCTTCGGCAACTGAGGCCATTAGCTGTAGTAGGATTTGTATTGTAGGTTTGTATTGTATATTTTGGGACGATAGGGGGGAACACGTGTGTGTTTGTTTTTGGCAGAATTTCGAATGGGGCACCCGTAGGTTTCTGCCATGCCCCGGGGGTGGGGGATGGCAGCACTTGTTCTCCGGTCACCGCGACTTGTCCGGAGAAAAATGCCGCCCGGTAGCCGAGGATCGAACCGCGACCGGCTGCGTCGCAGCGGACGCGTCAGACCACTCGGTCACCTCATCCCCCGTACCTATTATTGTTAGAATAAAATAAGACAATATAAAATTGAAAAAAAAAATTGTTTAAATATAAATATTTGCAATATTGTAATATTATTACGACAAGGTAAAAATAAAATCTATATAATATGTAAATGTGAAAATGAAAATCTTTGATGCCAATGAACTTGGAAACCAATCTTTCGATAGTCTAGGGGATTTTTTACTGGTAGAGAAACTTTTTTCGACTCACGTATGCATTTTTTTCAGCCCACTACACACAAGTATAACATATAAGTAAACAGCTTATTGAGTATAGTATTGCAGCATAAATTATTTAAGTCCAGAACTGAAATGTTAAATAATTTAGCATAGAAACAAATTAAATTGATTTAAAATATTTTTCTAAAATATAGGTAACCGTAACCGTATAATCAACCTAAGCGAAGCACATTATTACGTTTAAAACTAAAATCCTACAGTTAATTGTTTTGGTATCAAATGGAATTGAAAATTGACTATACCTACAATATTTTCTGTACATAAGCTGTGACTACTGTCAGCTATAACTTTGGAAATGTGCATCAATATATTAGGTGGAAGACGGAATTTAGACGGCTGAATTTCAGAGTTCATCAATACACTTTTAATTTAACTGAATTATACTTAAAAATGTAGCTTTTGAATTGTTCAGTAAATTGTTTTTTTTTCTTATCTCTCAATTATAAAATGTCAAATACAATTGTGTGTCTTAATTAATTGTTATAATGGTGCAATCCTGCGAATGATGTGATAGAAAAACAACATTTATTCGTCGAAAACTATTTCAAAATAATCACAAATAGGCACAAAATTCAAAACTCAAATAAAATAAAATCGTGTAGACACACACATACACACTAACACAAATCATTTTAAGCTATTTTTCTAACGAAACACGCAGCCAAAAGTGACCGCAGGGCTAAAATGCTCACGTACCTAGAAGTAGTTGCCATTGAAAATCTACCGTTAAAATTAAAAACAAACACCGCACGCATTTTAAAGCAGTTTCTGAAATCAAATTACAGTGATTTATCAAACAAGCTTTAGGCCTCTCGTCAATAACTATTGAACGTTGATAGTAACTGACGATATTCTTCAGTAGTATGGTAAAGATTACCTATCATCTATCAATAATTTTACATTATATGAATTTTTTTATTATTTTTGACAGTTTTTTTTTTTTACTTAAAGTACCTGAACGTTTAATTCAAATCTGAAAATCGATCATCCTATAAACGTAAGTAGCTGTGAATTTGCATTAAATCTCACTATTTCATAACAGCGGTACACCACGGGTATATCCCCACATTAAATATAATTTTCTGTTTAAAAAAAGTAACATGTTCGAACTGATATAGTTGTCACATTTGTTTGGGGTTCGTTTCCACTCGAGTAATTTATGGGATGCAACCACGTGTGCATTTACATTTTGCATCCCAACGATTTATTTTTATACCAATGTAAACATTTGTATAATTTTTATTTCATGAATATCAAATTTCGTATTCAGTAAAATATGGTAAAAAGTATATTATTTATTATGTGTAATAATGAAAATATGTATTTTATAACATATTTATTTATTTTACGTTCTAAAACTAAAGTAGCAATAATATAACTCTGTGGCACTGCATTTTCAGACATTGTTTAAAATATTATAATTCTAAGAAATTGTTTCACATCACATTGAAACTTAGAAGTTAGAATCATAACATTTTATTTAAAGCTACAAAACATTTATAAACATGTTTTTAAAAAACATTATTATACAGTTATTTGATACCAACAAAAGTTATGTTCAAATTAATAATCTGAATTTGTGTGACATCTTATCCCATAAGAATTTCTTAAAAATAACAGGGGTGTAATGTTACATTCGAAAAAGATTTTTTTCTTTTTTTTCATTCGTTTGACCTTATTTGCGATAATCCGCGAAACAGACACTGCATAAAGCCTGATAAGAGACGACGCAATCAATTTAACATTAAAAATATTCGTACGCTTTGAAAAGCGTTTGTAAACTCAGCACGGCTAAGTCGGTAAGTAATAAAAAACTAACAAGGCATCGATTTTTTGATTAATTGGAGAAAAATTGTATAAGTAAATACAGCTCTGATCTTTCAGAAAATATAGGTAATGGTAATTGGCGGAGTAATTGATAATATGTGAGCTGAGTCCTAATTTTCAAATTTAGCATACTATTTTTATTTTTTAAAACAATTTCGCATTTCGTACCAGAAAAGGCGGTCCTCGTCGAATTGCAAAATGTTTGAGTTCATTATGGGGTGGTTTTGAGGTATTATAAATGAATACATTTTAATCAAAATTGAATGACTTATAATGTATACCGATATTTGGTGTAACGTATAAAATGTAATCGGTGTATGAAATACTACCGGAAAACCTAACCATTGGTTTTCAAGTGAAAAAAATGTAATAAATTGTGTGCAGAGTATATAATATAACTCAATAGCAATATAGTGGCCAACGAATTTTCCTTTCAATACAGACGAACTCAGTTTATTATAATATGGAAAAGATGAGATAAATTTGTAATCTCCCTCGATGTAAATTATTTTAGTGTCCAATGTAGAGTTTATTTGACAAGGGTTTCTAGGTTACTTCAGGACTTGCTGAATAAAATATACGAATGCAATTATCGTGTCACGAAGGTTTATAATAAAATATAATATAATAATACAAATTTTGCTTTGAACATTTTTTTATATTTATAATATTATATTATAAAATATATTTTCTATTGATGAAATTAGTAATGGTTGTCTTTAAAAACAAATCTGTTGTATTTAAATTTAAATTTAGTATCTCGATCGTTTAATATTCCAATTTGTACATTTATTAATAATAAATAGTTAATGCTTCTTAACTATTATTATTTGTGTTTGGAAAAAGAAGAACACTGGCATTATTGACGAAATGAAAGTGTTAAAAAAAATAACTATGCATTTAACTTGTTTTTAGAATAACACTTAAATAGGGTAAATCAAACATTGTGTTTTTTGTCTTATTGTATTCAATTCAGGCAAACGTTTTGTATTCGTGTATCTCAATATTTTAATATTTTAGTATTATCTATACTTCTATAAAAATTTACAAAAAAAAGCGATTTCACACATGTAGCTATTATAACACTTAATTTCAACAACGAAACCTACTAATATAATACATCTTTCGTGACAGTTATTATTTATCTTTAACTCGAAATTTTTTTTTTCAAGTATTAAAGCAATAAATATTAATCAACATAAAAAACATTGTAACACCAAAGAACAATAAATGGTTTTCGTATTTTTAGAGTGCGTATAAACATGCAAACCCACTTTTAAACTAATTCAAATACTGCCTTATTTTAGTTATGTTTATTTCAATATAGTAATCAGAGTAGGTATACGCCACAATTGTAATGCCAAAGTTTAGGTATAATGTGCCTATAAATATAACTTTTATTTCTGTGAGTTGTTTTCATTATTTTTTATCTTTGTGAAAACACTTCAGAAAATAATGCTATTACTATACTTTTATTACCATTACTACGTTCAATAAACTTATTAATATTAGTTAATATTTATGATTATTTATGGATGTGTTGCTTTACAATGGTTAAAGTTCCATAATTTTTTCAATTTAAATAATATATACACATTGGTGGTATCAAAATTTTAAATATTTTTTATCGTTTAGTAAAAGTGTTATATTATTTTCGTATCAAAAAATATATTTTTATCTCAATGGTAAAAATCTATAAATTAGTAAAGACAGATAATTTATCATAAAGTCTAATCAATAAAATTTACAAAAGTATTCATCAAGTTAAACCTTAGTATGGTTTAATCTGCCCACATTATTTTATTCTCAAACTACAATACACTCAATGAAGTATAAAGTAAAAAGAAAACTAAGTATATTAATTGTATATAACTATGGATTGAATTCTGTGTTGTTAATTCTAAAATCAGTATTCAGTATTGACTTTTAACTATCCATATAAAATACTTAATAATTGTTTCTTTTGTATTTTAACTAACTGTATATTATCTAACTATTTTACCTGAGTTAATGAGTTCTTCATCGGTACATTCATTGGAGGTTTTTTTGATATTGGGAACTTTAACTACAGCCACAGGATCCAATTTAGTCACTCTTCCGTAAGCCATAATACTCTGCAGTTTTTCTTTTTCCTCCGTGTAATTTTCTTGCAATTATTAACATTAATTAATTATTCATAACTAAAACTAATTTACTTGACTTCAAAGTTGTGCATATAGGGTTACTTGCATATAGTTATTGGCGCCTTAAGGATTATTTTTTGATATTTATTACCACTTTACATGTTCTATTATTACATCAAATAGCAAATAATCAAATGAGTAATACGATAACACAGAGTTTTATAATAAAAACAGCATCAATGTAACCAAATAATTAAAAGGGAATGAAAATATCCTTTAAATTCTTAATCTAACATTATTTATACGAAATATAAAATTATTTAGTGCCAATAACCCTAACTATACAAGTTACCTTACACGACGTGGTGTAATGTTTTATTCGTACATCTGTATTATGTTTTATAGATGTATACATTTTTTGTATAATTTTGTGTTTACTTTGTCTAGCGCTAGGTTTGTAGGCTTCCGGTTCGTACGCTCCAGACTCTACGATATCTTTGAGCATCCGAGGTCTGGTCGATCGGAAACGTTTCATGGGGGCTTCAGACGGTCCGGACACGAGACGATGCGATGTTGTTGACGGCGAATCGCCATGGGATCTTAGCCAACCCTGCAGAGATTTCCGCTGTAACGTCGTTAAGCGACTCTCCTTGATCAACTCTGCGAAAAACATTTAAAACGGGAACATTTTAATCAGATACCGCAGTTACAATGATCATTGTACAACGAAAAGCTGAACAGTTTTGTGAAACCGACCGTATATATCAGAATATGTAATCCAATGTTCTCAGTCCAAAATTTGATAAAAAAAAATTAATTTGTTAGGACGATTCCAAGAAAACGATGCCCTGCATTAAGTACCCAGAAATTATTTAAACAATAAATCATTTAATGAAACAGTACATAATTAGGGCAAAACGATAAGACAAATATTTCGAGGGTAAAATAACTATTTTAGGTTTAAAGTTTATTTTACACGATAATGTGTATTTCCCTTCATTTTGACCAAACAGACTTTTCACAATAGGAAAACATTTCTCAAGACTCAAAACCAAATGATTCTTTGGAATTTTGCCAAAAGGTAAATGTTTTTTCTGTGTATATCTGCTGATCATAACAAATAACGAGGTAATTATACAAAAAACAATGTATGGAACTCGAATAATGTTTTTTGTTAAATGTTTCATCCGTAACTAAACAGTGAACAGTAAATTAATTTTGAATGGTACAGATTTTGTACTCCCAATAACATTTTGATAAAATTATATTAATTGTATAAGTCTTAAATTTAAAAAGACAAGACAACTGCAGCAACCCACTGAGTCGGCGAAACGAAAATATAATATCGGTAATCATGTAAAAGTAATAAATTGTTACTTCCTATTCTTCATATGGAATATTTCTGTTTTAGTGTACTTATATTATGGTTCAAATTTTAAAAGAGTTAACAAAATTCAAATGCAATTATTCATAATTATTTTTTTACCTAATAAAGTAATAACCAACTACAATTATTACCAATAGGTACTTTTTTGTTTATCTTAAACAAATATTATTTTTAGATTTATAATGAATTATTGTATTTATTTGTACACTATTTCGGGCTCTTGCTTATTATTTGCTAATTATTGTTTATTAATAATTTGTTATATCATACCATTCAAAAATTTCCGAGTTTCTGGACTGTATTCGGATGGTCTGGATGCATTGAAGATTCCACCTTCATTACAAATTTTTGTCCGATACGCCATTTTGATTTTTTTTCTACAACAACAATGATTGTGTAGCAACAACTAACTCTTAAACAGCAACTACTGTAAGATGTAAAATGCGTATATAACACTGAAAATTATACTTATATCTATTAAATATTATATCAATGAAACAGTCGAGTTTACGAAACGTAAACCATGGTAACAGACGCAATTGACGCGGTAGGTATAAACATTGAAATAATACGGGAAATATAAAAATATTACTTAATTGATTTGTTTGTTACATTATTTGGATATATTTATTGTATTTTAACTATTTTTTTAAAGCCTAAAACGTTAGGTTAATGAAAAAAAATCATAATAATTTTTGTCTTTCAAAACTAAATAGGCGGATAATATTGAAATTATTATTACATCGAAGAGTTTGTATCACATGAGAATTTATCGACTTTATATCAGTTCACAGAATCTGTTTATCTATATCGATGTAGAAAAAACAACTTCCTACAGTTTTGAGAGTAAAAATAATTCATTTACACTACAAATAGGCCTTCCGTATGTTTAATGTTAACAACTTTTTCTTTGACGAATAACTTTTTTTTTAGGTTAATAGTAACCTTTTGGCAGGGCTTGAAATCGGTTTTGAAATCGGTTTTGAATACCGGTTAAAACCGTTAAAAGACTGATATCGAAATCAAAATCGAAATCGAAACCTCAAAAATACAATACCGGTATTCAAAATTGAAAACAAAATCGAAAAAAATCAATACCGGTTATTAATATCGAAATCGAAACCTCAAAAATACAATACCGGTATTCAAAATTGAAAACAAAATCAAAAAAAATTAATATCGGTTATTAATATCGAAATGACGAAATCTTAAAATATTCAAAAAAAAAAAACAGAATCAAATATTTTAAAATCGTAAAATATTTTTATAACAATTCGCCGTACTCGTCGAACTAGGCGGTTGACTAAAAATGGACTGAATATTAATAATATATTATTACTAGTTATTCGTCGTCATGATAGAGGCACGCCGATAACAATACATGGAAACTATAAATATAATGTAATAAATGAAAAATTATAAGTAATTACTAATTAGTAAAGTTGCCGTCATGGTCGGCCCGACGCACGGGGATAACGCAAACAGACATGGTTATACCTACATGATCTAATAATAACTAATAAAACTACCTAGTAAAATCATTACAGTATCTTATATAGTTATACATATAAAAAGTCATAATATCTTAG